GGCCTGAACACGCCCGGAGGCCGTTACCTTGTTCGTGGGCACCGAGCGGAGGCGCTTGAAGATGGCCAGGATGTCCTGCTTGCTAGGGTCCCCCATCGTCACCCCTGAGCCAGGGTACAGCGGGCCCCGCCAACCGGGAAGGGCGGACGAGGAACGGTTGCCGCCTCAGGGAGGGCAACCAGGCCGAGAGGGCGGGGCTGCGCGTGACGGCCAGACCCCGCCCCCCCAGGCCCCGCCCCCCAGGCCCCGCCCACAGCCGGAACGCTCGCGCCTGTCTCTTGCCCGGGGAACCGCCGCTTGAACCACGCCGCTGGCGCTGCGGGGCTTCCACTCAGTGCCCACGCGCTGACGCGCTGACGCGCTTGCGCAGGAGGCTGGCGCGCCATCTCTGGGCCTTCACTGCTCCTGGGAGGCGAAGCTGCTGCGCTCAGCGCGAGTAGCTCCCACGCGCACAGCGGAAGGATCCATCAACTTTTCGGCAGGCCGATCGCCATTTTGCCTGACGGACGGCAGCGCCAGTCGCTCTAGATGGTAAAGGAGACCGGAGGGGCAGCGACCGTCTCTCCACACCCGGCAGACCGAGGACGCGAGCCAGACGCCAGACGGTTGAGTCGTTTTCCCTTTTAATTCTTGCCCTCAGCTAAGGCCAAGCCCTGGGTGGAAAGCTTTCTTGGCCCCCAGAATCGTTTTCTTTGTTTGTTTGTTTGGGGTTTTTTTGGGTTGGAGTCTCACTCGGTCGCCCAGACCGGAGTGCAGTGGCCGCTCCCGGCCCCCGCAGCCTCGACCTGCCGGGCTCCGGCGATCCTTCCGCCTCAGCCTTCCGAGTAGCCGGAATTACAGGCGTGCGCTACCACGCCCGGCTGATTTTTTGATTTATTGTAGAGTTGAGGTCTCGCTGCCCAGGCGGGTCTCGAACCCTCGGGGGCTCAGGCCATCCACTCACCTCAGCATCCCAAAGGCGCGGGATTACAGGCTGAGCCACCGAGCCCGGCTAGTTTTCTTTTCTTTTTATTTTTTTTAAGTTGGAGGCTCACTCTGTCGCCCCGACTGGGGTGCAGTGGCCGCTCCCAGCCACGGCAGCCTCGACCTGCTGGGCTCCGGCAGATCCTTCCGCCTCAGCCTTCCAAGTTTCCAGAACTACAGGCGCGCACTACCACGCCCGGCTAATTTTTTTGAGTTACTGTAGAGATGAGGTCTCGCCAAGTTGCCCAGGCGGGTCTCGAACCCGCGGGCTCAGGCAGTCCTTTCGCCTCGGCCTCCCAAAGTGCTGGGATTACAGGGTGAGCCACCGAGCCCGTGGGTTTGAGTATCATGTCAGGACAGAGCGACCCTGGTTGAGGCAAAAAGGCCGAACTGACAAGTCGAGTGCCTTTTTTTTTTCTTTTTCCTTTTTTTTGAGCCCTGCTAAGTTGGGTGACTTTTAACCCCAGTCCCAGAGGCTGGGGCTGCATCCTGCCCTTTGGGTGACAATTACCAGCCAGAAGGGTTTAGACTCCGGAGAAGGTGCCCCTTTTACAATAGTGGGTGTGGAGCCCTGGAAAGGTTGCCCGAGGGTGGGTTTATAGTGGTGAGAGAACAGGTTTGGGGCAGATTGCAATACCCTGGCTCCAGTCCTGATCTAGCCCAGCTCACTGCTTCCTAGTCTGTGTCCTTGGCCAAGCTGCTTCGCTTCTCTAAAGCATGGTCTGTTCATCCGTAGGAAGAAGTTAAGAGACAAGAATCAGTGCAGAGCAGCATGGGAGACCAGCTTCCCAGAGAAGCTCCCAGAAAGCCTTTGGTGGTTGCCCTTGTACTGTTAGAGGCTAGGAATGTTCACTGAACCTGTCTGGTCAGATGCCCTCAGGGGAGGTCAGAAGCTTGCAGGGAATGTAAACCCAGGATTGGAACCTTTCCAAGGAAGCGAAATTTAGTACCTTCTAGAATAGTCTCTTTTGCTGATGGTTTGGCTGTTCAAAAGCTCTTCCTTATATTGAGTCAAAGTATATACACCTGTATTTGGTGTCCATTAGGTACTAGTTTGGCCTTATATGGAACACCTGGCACGTTTATGAGGGGCAGTCATATCCTTCCTGATCAGAATGAGAATGATGGTTCCATTTGTTATTTGGTGCTGAAATCTTACTAAGTTATATATCAGGCTAGGGCAGGGGTCCCCAATCCCCAGGCCACAGACTGATACTGGTCCGTGACCTGTTAGGAACCGGGCTGTACCACAGGAGGTGAGCAACAGGTGAACAAGCAAAGCTTAATCTGGATTTACAGCCGTTCTCCATCGCTTACATTACTGCCTGAGCTCTGCTTTCTGTCAAATCAGTGGCAGCATTACATTCTCATAGGAGCAAGAACCCTATTGTGAACTGCACATGCAGGGATCTGGGTTGTGCCTTCCTTATGATAACCTAATGCCTGATGATCTGAGGTAAAGCTGAGGAGGTGATGCTGTTGCTGGGGAGTGGCTGGAGATACAGATTAACATTAGTAGTGAGGTGACTGTACATACTACACCCCCCACCATCTGTGGAAAAATTGTCTCCCATGAAATGGGATCCTGATGCCAAAAAGGTTGGGGAATGCTAGACCTGAGAAGTCTAGTCCACTCTCCGCCATGGAGATCCCTGAGAAGAAAAAAAAAATGCAGTGAAGTATAGATAATTATCTACACTAAAATAGGCAGGCAAAGGGGTGGGGATACCATTTATATACCATCATTATCTTTTCTTTCATCTGCATGTTTTTCATAGAACTAATTAGCACCTAATACTATAATATATAATATTCCATCCATGTATCTATCGATCTGCCTCTCCTCAACTGAATAAGTTTCTTGAGATCAGATAATCTGTTTTGTTTTCTCCTCTATCCCCAGCACCTAGAACAATTCCTGGCACATGGTACACATTCAGTAAAGATTTGTGGAATGGGCTTAGAATGTAGAAAGCTGCTTGTTGCGCAGTAGTGCTAGTGGCTTCTTCATTCTTTCCTCGGACTCGGTAGCCGCCACTCGTGCTGAGCTGCTAGGGAGCTCTTGTAGGCGAGCTCATAGGAGCTTGAAACCTTCATCACCCTTCCGACTCATCGGGGAAAAATGGTTGAAGCAGATCGCCCAGGAAAGCTCTTCATTGGTGGGCTCAATACAGAAACAAACGAGAAAGCCCTTGAAGCAGTATTTGGCAAATATGGACGAATAGTGGAAGTACTCTTGATGAAAGACCGTGAAACCAACAAATCAAGAGGATTTGCTTTTATCACCTTTGAAAACCCAGCAGATGCTAAGGATGCAGCCAGAGACATGAATGGGAAGTCTTTAGATGGAAAAGCCATCAAGGTGGAACAAGCCACCAAACCATCATTTGAAAGTGGTAGACGTGTACCACCTCCACCTCCAAGAAGCAGAGGCCCTCCAAGAGGTCTTAGAGGTGGAAGAGGAGGAAGTGGAGGAACCAGGGGACCTCCCCCACGGGGAGGCCACATGGATGATGGTGGCTATTCCATGAATTTTAACATGAGTTCTTCCAGGGGACCACTCCCAGTAAAAAGAGGACCACCACCACGAAGTGGAGGTCCTCCTCCTAAAAGATCTGCCCCTTCAGGACCAGTTCGCAGCAGCAGTGGAATGGGAGGAAGAGCTCCTGTATCACGTGGAAGAGATAGTTATGGAGGTCCACCTCGAAGGGAACCCCTGCCCTCTCGTAGAGATCTTTATTTGTCCCCAAGAGATGATGGATATTCTACTAAAGACAGCTATTCAAGCAGAGATTACCCAAGCTCTCGTGATACAAGAGATTATGCTCCGCCACCAAGAGATTATACTTATCGTGATTATGGTCATTCCAGTTCACGTGATGACTATCCATCAAGAGGCTATAGTGATAGAGATGGATATGGTCGTGATCGTGACTATTCAGATCATCCAAGCGGAGGCTCCTACAGAGATTCATATGAGAGTTATGGTAACTCACGCAGTGCTCCACCTACACGAGGGCCCCCGCCATCTTATGGTGGAAGCAGTCGCTATGATGATTACAGCAGCTCACGTGACAGATATGGTGGAAGTCGAGACAGTTACTCAAGCAGCCGAAGTGATCTCTACTCAAGTGGTCGTGATCGGGTTGGCAGACAAGAAAGAGGGCTTCCTCCTTCTATGGAAAGGGGGTACCCTCCTCCACGTGATTCCTACAGCAGTTCAAGCCGCGGAGCACCAAGAGGTGGTAGCCGTGGAGGAAGCCGATCCGATAGAGGGGGAGGCAGAAGCAGATACTAGAAACAAACAAAACTTTGGACCAAAATCCCTGTTCAAAGAAACAAACAAAAAGTGGAAACTATTCTGTCATAACTACCCAAGGACTACTAAAAGGAAAAATTGTGTTACTTTTTAAAAATTTACTGTTAAGTTCCCCTCCATAATTTTTATGTTCTTGTGAGGAAAAAAGTAAAACATGTTTAATTTTATTTGACTTTATGACATTGCTTTCACAAGCAATGTTAAATGTATAAGACTTGACTTGTACTAGTGTTGTAATTTCCAAGTAAAAGTGTCCCTAA